CCCTTAAACCTAAGGCCTCCCCATGTCAGTAATGAGCATACTTCCCCACGCTGGGCAGTGCGCATTGGTGGGGAGGAGGTGTGCAGAGACTGGTTCACGTATCACTCGCCACCATCACCACCATCACTCACCAGCAGCAAGCACAGAAACATCATGACAATCATCAGCAGCATCATACAAAAAAATCTAATTTAAGCTGTGAAAAAAGCTCATGCAAACACCTTTGTTCGATTAGACTGCATTAACAATCAAGCACTCGTGAGCAGCGCAGCACGATGAGCCTCACACTGCCGGCACTGCCGAGACCCACGAGGACACAGTAAGTCAGGGGCGGGGGGCAAAGTATATTGCTTGTCCCCCCTAAACAGTCTTTATGGGTGCCCATGGCTACCTGACTTGGGCCGCCCACAGTTACTCGCCCCCACAAAGCTTCAAGATCTTTCCCTAGTGCTCGTAGAGAGCGGTGAAATCTCGTCTGCTTGTGGCGCTGCGCGGCAAACGAGCTACACGTGTGCGGGTCAACCGCTCGTGGTGACGAGGGCCGAAACTGCGCCACGCGCACCGCCACTCCCCCACCCCCCAACTCCCGTCCGCCGCTCGGACCCACGCGGTGCATTCACCAACCTCTGAGTGGCATGATTTTGAAAGACTGGCGTTTTGAGTGGTACACTATATTTTGTTTTATTATGCAACCGACAAAGATGGGAACTTTTAATGTCGAAGACTTACAGATTTCCCACGACGGCGACCTCAAAAAAGAGGACGATCCTGGAAAAATCAGGACAGGTGGACAGTCGAATTAGCAAAGAGGGTTGTAGTCTTATTCGTATGGCACGGTTGGCTACGTACAGTGCGAAAGAAGTTACAAATACATACATTGAAGTGCAACTACGATTTTACATTGAGATGGTTGAGCCTGAAGATTGCGTCAGGAGTAGCGGAGTGTATCGCTCTGATGATCCCTCCTCCATTGTATTTGCCAATGGGGCAATGAGTTGTCATATGTTCCCTAGTCCTCTGCGGGTTGGAGTTTGGGATAGTGATAAGGCTTCTGATTCACTGCAGCAAATATTTTTCAGTGTCAGTATTTGACACTACATGTAGGGCAGTTCCACAGCTTAGGAAAACTTCACAGTCAATTTTTTAATCATCACAATTTTATATATATGGGATGTCATTTTGAAGGTAATTATGGTTTTAGAAAATATGGCTTATTCATGGACGTACACACACACACAAACCAGACTGCACCTTCACCACCATCCCAGCGTGGATGAAGACGTCAGTTCGTCTCATCACGTCCAACACTACGGTGTTAACGAGCATTTCTCCCTCATCAAGAAAGGTGTACGGATGACTTGTATCCGAATCACAGTCCCAATTGGTTGACATACTACGCCCATTTAAAAATCACCGCGTGATTACGGTAATAAGTATGTCCTTAGTGCCTGAAACGTACGCCTGAGATCGTGGAACTGCCCGCCAGCACTGCCTCTCGCAATCGGGGACGTGGGGACGACTATGGTTCCTGGTTCGACTATGGGCGACGGACATCTCCTCCTCCTCGTAGTCCTCAATTTCCACCACCACCACCACAACCTTATGCTCGTCACCCCCTACTCAAGCTCAGTGAGAATCCCCTGGAGTGCCAGGGAACTCTGCGTCACATTCGGCTCCTCGAAGCTCCGCAACAGCCACGGTGGGGCCCACTCACACTGTGGACTGAGACAGCGCTCGGCGTTGGAAATGCGAGAGCCACTCGCATGTCCCAGAGAGAAAAACCAAACGACTCAAAAGCATTGAGACTTGGCGACACTTTCTTATTGTTCTAATGTGACGCTCTGTAGGGAAGAAGGGGAAGTGCTGGTGGGGGTGGGAAGTGTTTGGAAGTGTGGGGCGGGGGGGGGCTGTGAGGGGCTCAGAGGGGGATGGAAGGGTGGATGGTGAGTGAGGGAGTTCTGGGGAAGGGGGTTCTTCCATCCCTTGCTCCTATTCATGGCCAGGCACAACCTCTTCCTCTTTGTCCTCAACCGTGATGTGGCCGACCTGTGTTTGCCAACCTGTAGACAGTCCGACTCATCGGAGATTAAACTCAACCAAGTGCGTATGCCATACAAGTGTGTGTACCAGCATACATACATATGCATATATTACTCAACTAACTGGGATTACACACAGCAATCAGCACCCCCTACTGGCAGAATGACACCCGATTGCAGGTCAGGTGCCAAGTCACCTTGTGCCCACAGGGACAGCGAATACCAGGAGTACCCTTTCAAACGTGTTGAGATGAGATGTGATATAATATGCTCAAATACACCCCGGTGTACAAGAGGGTGCTAAATCATTACCATTATTATCAATACAGCCCCCGTGCGCCTTTCCAGATTGTAGTGGTAAGCGCTGCTAGCAAGCAGCTGCTCAGGGCGGCATCGTGTACGAGTGGATGGTGTGGGCAGCCCCAAGGACAGCAGCATGTCTTCCCAGTGTTGATCTTTACACTGATACTTGATACGGGTTTATTTTCTCTTGCTAAGAACAAAGACTGATCCCTGTCTAAACATTGATCCCCGTTGAGCCACATAGGCTGCAGCAGCAGTGCTGTGAGCAAACAGCTAATTAAGGCTTATAGCACAATAAGGGCTGGCCACCTTTGTCTCCTCATTGTTAGTTGATAACTAATCAGACAACCGGCTATCCACTCAAGCTTACCGTAACCCAGTATCCAGCAAACCATGTGAACTGCCCCTATCACTGACCCATTCCACTATCCCTGCCCCTGTAACCCTGGCTCTACCCCAGATTGAACCAGGATTTCCACGGAGCCTAGGCCGTGGGCTCCGTGACGCTCTCCTCAATTACGCAGGTCACACGCGGCTGCGCATCTCATCACAACGACGCGACCTCTCGTTGCGATGTCAATACTGATTACGGCGGGGAGATGCGCCACGGAGAACATTTCCGTTTGGGGGTGACGCGGCGATTGATAAACGATAGGGGGCTCGCACAAAAGGGACTTGTGATACTGTACTCACTCTCAAAAAAACACCCACCAACCCCCCCCCCTCCTCCAGCTCTCCCACCCCATCCCGCGGGTAGATCGCTCACAATCGTTGACCACTGGAATTACGTGTCACGGAGTGATGCGCAAATATGAATTGGTGGGTCAGAGCGGCGTCTGCCGTGACGTGATAACACAAATTACAAACCCCAACGCCATTTATGATTCCCCCGGTTCTCTGTTGAAACATCGGCCTGGCGTCAGCACCGACGCGTCCGCTTTTTGGCGCCAGGCCCCACGACTGAATCTGGGCCATGGCTCGGAGAGGGTGTTTAATAGAGATATAGCAAGGACCACGGTAGGGCACAGGGGGCCAATGGCGATGGGGCGACCGACTCGTCGAATTACCCCGACTCAGCTGTGTAACGGGCAGGGATAGGACTGGCGTATGTATGTATGTTCAACTTTTTTTGCACAATGCCTAGCCAATCGTGCTAATCGGAGGTGTGGTGGATATGTGGCTAACTCATTACGGGTCGGGCTTGTAAATTGGCTGGTAGGCTAGCTGCTTATGGCTAGTACTGGTGGCTGGTAGCCTAGCTCGTTCAGAGGTAGAGATAGAATTTTGTTGGATAGTATGCTCCACTCACAAATTGTTCATGCCCAATGGAATGTACAACCACCAGTTAGGTTTTTGGGCCTAATTGTTATCTACAATTCTCACAGCAGAGTGCTCAACCCTGTACCAGAGAGCGAAAGAGGGAGAGAGAGGAGCTTGTAGTCTAGCGGCGCCACTACCTCCGCTCTCGCCCGCTGAGAAGCGGTCCCTGTGCGGCGGCAGTGGTGCTCGCGGGGAGACGCGACACGGTGCTGATCACATCGGACACCGATCCTCGCTGCCATCACGCGCGGCGGCTGGGGAGCAGCGGTGCACGGCGCGCATTGATTGCACCCTGATGAGCGCACTTAGCGGCCGCCGCCACTGATTGCCGCTCCTTTCCCCTGCCCCCCCCCCCCCCACCGTGCCGTGGCATGGGGGGGGGGGAGCGGTTTCCTGGCCAGTTTCCCGGGAGCGCCACAATTATTTGCAACCTGCACGCCTGATTGTTTGCGAATTTCGCTGCGAGTCGAGTTGAGACTCGCGGACGCCGCCGGGCCTCACTGTGCGGGGTCTCATGCACCTGAGCAAAGTTACGACAGCGCGCGCGATGCCAAAAGTGAAAAGCGAACGGAAGGTAAAAGGCTGCACTTGGCGATGGGAAGAGAGACAAACCATTTCTGGGTGTAGCAGAACAAACAATCAAGATGCTAACACACTCGCCATATCCCTAACCAGGTAACCGGCAGACGCACCGAGCAGGCCACAATGTAATCGCTTCCTAATCTGCATGTCCACACTCGTGCGGTATCAAGGACAGGGCCCGCATGCGCTATTCCACCGCACACTCTTTAGATACATGCATTTAGAATATTTGGCTGCTATAAATTTCCACATGATGATAAGCCACTTCTTTGAGCTATCATTTGTGGCTAGGTCACTTCTGAAAAAGAGATATATAGCTCAGTGGGCCTTAACTGGTATAATAAAATTAGTTAGTTAACTCTCCCATCAGCCGTTCACACTTGGAGCCAACTCCCAATTCCACTGGGGACCTGAGGGCCGTTATTCACGAGCAGGGATAGGGAGAAGAGGAAGCGCTTATTGAATGGAAAGCTGGAGTGCAACTGCAAATAATGGGGGAATTCTTCAATTCCTTTTACGGTTTTCTTTTCCCATGCTCTTTTACACTTCCTCTTGGAGGTGGTGAGGCAACAACGCCACTAGCTTGGAGCTGCCCGTGGTCAGATATCCAGGGGCACTCCCGGGAGGAGAGGGATTTCATCCGGGGAGTTAATTAAGCGCAGCGTGGCTCCTCTTGTTTATTTATCACGCGCTCTTTGACCGCTTTCTCTTGTATGAATAAATTAAGGAGGCCTTTGTTGTTGTGTTCGCACTCACTCTCTCTCTCTCCGCGGTCAGCTCCTCGATGTCGCGGCTCTGCAGATCTTCCTGCTACCTAGCCTGCACGCATGCCACACACACGGGCACTACAGACTACTCCATCAGCGTGCTCATTGCCTCAACGATGCTGTCCGCGCATGCGATTAGAAACTTGGCAAGCTGAGCTTGCATAATAAGAGTTTTTTTTGGGTTAGATCGCGTAACTATGTAAATGAGTCATTAAAACCCGCCACCACCTGACAACCAACTAGTAAAGGTTGTCACGTAAACCAAACACACCGGTGTGCTGTACTAGTGACGAATTGCCATGTTTACATGACAACGTTTACATGACAAGGTTTACGTGACAACCCTTCTAGTTGGCTGTGTTAGGTGGTGGTGGGTTTTAACGACACATTTATTTATTTACGCGATCTAACCCAAAAAACCTTTATGGATGATATTGGTCGCGAAAGCCTACATGTTAAACCAAGCTGAGCTTGATTCCCAGCCATGAGTAATTTATGAACCAATCCTGGGCCTCCCCTAGGTTGTCCTGGCCTTCAATGAGTACCAGGTCCAGTCTGTAAACATCAGCACTGGGGAGACAAAGGCAGCTGGTTTTGGCCACACCACCCCATTGAGCGCTGTGCTGGCCTTTCTAGATGCTCGCTAATAGCACTTGTCTCAACAGCCTGTTTGGCTACACGGGAGATATTTATAATTGCAGTCCCTCGAGGAGAGACTCAGACCAGGCCTCATCGCTGTTTGCCATGGTTGGGAATAAATCTTAAGTGGTTGGGTTCATAGTGCCATGCTGCCCCCTCCTTCACCACCCCATGTCTCATGTCAATAGCCTCTATGACTGTGCATGTGCGTGCGTGCGCATGGGTGTGTGTGCGCACCGTGTGCTTGAGTGGGCTCGTGAGTGAGTGGCCGCTTACTTCTGCTGAGCGATCCACGGCTGCAACCCGGACACCGTGAGCTCGCTCTACCTCGTGTCGTTCCGCAACACCTTCAGGGATTGCTCCATCGTCTTCACCTGTCCATGGGGCACACAGACAAAGGTCCTCCGTATAGCTTTCGCAGACTGTTGGGGCTAGTGTTGTAAGGGAGCACCTATGAAATCTGGTATGGCACGTCCACAAACGGTTGGTATGGCTAACACCATGCCCAGCTGCCTTTGTCTCCCCAGGGTGATGTTTACACACCGCACCAGGTACTAATTTAAGGCTGAGTTGACCCAGGGAAGGCCCAGGACCAGTTCAGATAATTGCCACTCATGTTGGCCGTAAGTGGTAAATGAACTCCATTCCCGACATTTGTAGCATGCGCTAACCACTACAAGGATAAAGACCCCTCTCTATATAGCGTTAAGAGATTGTAGGGGCAAGTGCTGTTAACGAACACCGATGAAGGCCGGTACGGAAGAGGAGGGAGTGGTGAAAAACATGCCCGGCTGCCTTTGTCTCCCCAGTGTGATGTTTACACACCACACCAGGTTCTCATTTGAGGCTGAGTCGACTTATGGGAGGCCCAGGACCTGTTCAGATAATAGTCATTGGTATTAGCCATGAGCGAGAATAAAGGTCAGGTCGCTGGGTTCGTCGCGCAGCACGCTAAACGCTACACTTTCGCTCCCCGCGAGCTACTACATGACCGAATACATTTACATGCACACGAAGATCTCATACGAAACCGTATTAACTGCTGGGGCAAGTGTTGTTCACGAGAACATTCTGAATGGCAGGTTGCGTGACAGAGTGGCTTGGCCAGGACCATGTCAGGCTGTCTTTGTCTTTGTAGAGTTTGGGGGGGGGGCAATGCCCCCCCCCCTCCTTATTTTCAGTAGTTTACAATTAAGATTTAAAAAAATATTAAATGCACCCACGATTCCTTTCCTAATGTAAGGGACAAAGCGAACCCCTGCCCCCCGAAATATAAATGTGAAACTCCACCTATGTTTACATGTCACACCAGCTATTAATTTTAGGTTCAGTCAACCAAAGGGAGGCTGGGACCAGTTCACCTCCTTTTAGGCACAATGCCGGGGTGGGTTGATTTGGTGATCCTGGGTTGCGCATGCGTCATGACTTCCTTCTCGGTCTTGCTGGTAGGATCCAAACGGGTGCATAACACGAAGTTGGGTACCAGTTTGCCTGCAGATTTTCTGTTGGGGTTTACTCCCTTAGCCTCACACTCTCCCGAGACAATTATAAGGCAGTGAGAGGACCGCGTAACCCTGGGATAGCCGGACCAGCTCAGCCTGGGACTCAAGTAGGGCAGGGACGTCACTCCCTGAAGTTTGTTTGTAACACTCACAAACCACCCGCTACCCATACAAGTTCAGATAATTACGAGTGATATTGGCCATGACTGGGAATTGAACTTTGCTTGCCTGGCACTTAGCGCAGTGCACTAACCACACACAGGCACGTACAGTGAGGGAAAAAAGCATTTGATCCCCTGCTGATTTTGTACGTTTGCCCACTGACAAAGAAATGATCAGTCTATAATTTTAATGGTAGGTTTATTTGAACAGTGAGAGACAGAATAACAACAAAAAAATCCAGAAAAACACATGTCAAAAATGTTATAAATTGATTTGTATTTTAATGAGGGAAATAAGTATTTGACCCCCTCTCAATAAGAAAGATTTCTGGCTCCCAAGTGTCTTTTATACAGGTGTAAAGGAGTTCCCGACGACTCACTCGGAGGTTAAGGTAAGGTAAGGGCTTCCGCCAATGGTTTATTAAAAATCTTTAACAGTACACAGGGGTGAACAACTTCCCAGGGGTTAGGGGTCCCAGGCTAGGTCCCGACACAGCCGGCTGCCCTGTGCTGTCTCCTCTGCGCCGACCGTGGGATCAACCAACACGGCCGACCGAGGAGCACAGCCACGTCTCGCCTGGCACTGTGCTCTCCCCTATCCCTACCCTCTTGCCCCTCGCTCCCCGTTCCCCACCTTCTCCGACCCTATTCTCCAGCTACGACCCCGCTTACGTCACGGGGTCCCCCTTTTATCCTTGAGGACCCGTGATGTCACTCTGCTGCCCCAAGCCCATGACGTCACGTCATCGCCCTGGGCAGCCCACGTGACGCCACTTCCCCATTCTACTCCTCTACATTACCCCCCCTGTGAAAAAAAACAGCCGACCCGGCTGCAACCACCACACCAGCGGGGCCCAACCCCCCCAATGGAGGCCGAGCAACTAAGCGTGCACGTGCCCGAACGTAAAACCGGCTGCCAGAAAAACCCCAACCTTAGGGCAGCACGGCATCCCAGGCACCACAGTAACAACAACCATAACAACCACAACAATAGAACGAACGGGAAGAAAAGTCAGACGGCTTCTTCCAGCCGGCAGTGCCGAGCGGCCGCCGGGGGCTGGGGCCCTACGAACGGCCACCGAGGCTATCACCGGATCCGCATCCCCCTCGAGCGGATATGCGCTGCCGGCCCGCTTCCCCGCGTGGCGTCCGCCGCCAATGCAGGTGGCCTGTCAGCCGGCAATAGGCCCACCGCCGTAGCCTCCGGTGGTTGAGGGGTCCTCGCCGGCGCTACTTGGAAGGGCCCTGGGGGCACACAAACAGGGCGAACGCCGCCCCCGTCAACAGGACCCGGCCGGACAGGCACGACGGACGCATCACCCGCTGGCCGCCCTGGAGTTGGGGGTGGATCCCCCAGGGTAGATGGAACATAACGTTTGAGCCAGGATGGGTGCACTATCCACCGCCGGCGTCCGAACCGAATCCGGACGCACTGCGGCCGGAGGGCTTTCACGACCTCAACAGGGCCCTGCCAAGGCCGGTGCAATTTGGCAGATGTGCCAACCGGGACCTGGGGACAATGCAGCCACGCTTTCTGGCCCACTACCCACGGGAGGCCCGCTGCCTGGTGTCTGGGCAGCCGCTCATTAGCCGCCTGCCGGCTGGCGGAATTCTCGCCAGCGGCCTGCCGTGCCTCGCGCAGCCGGTCAAGCGCGACCTTCAAAGGGACCGGCACCGCCGACCCCTTCCTGGAGGACCCCACGTCCAGTTGGACGTACACCGGGGGCTCCGGCTCCCTACCGTACATTCAATAAAAAGGTGAAAAACCCGTTGAGGCGTGAGGAGCCAACTGATACGCTGCTAAGACCCCCGGGACGAACAGGTCCCAGTCCGACTGAGACGTGTTCACATGGTGGCACAGCATGGAAGTGAGAGTGCGGTTCAAGCGCTCAACCATCCCGTCCGATTGGGGGTGGTAGGGCGAGGTGCGGATTTTCTTGGTGCCAAGGAGGTCACACACCTCCTTGAGCAGCTTGGATGAGAAATTCCGCCTCTGATCCGTCAATAATTGTTCCGGTGCGCCCTTGTCTAACACGTACCCCTGGACGAACGCCTCGGTGATAGAAGAGGCCGACTGATCGACCAAAGGCCACGCCACAGGCCAACGTGTGAGGTATTCAACGCCCACCAAGAGGTATTTATGGCCCCGTTGGGATGCAGGGAATGGGCCCAAGATGTCGAGCGCCACGAGTTCATTAACGCGAGAAACCCGGATGGACTGCAGCGGGGCCCGGTCCTGGACAACTGGGGCCTTCCTCCGCGCGCAGTCGTGGCAACCCTTCAAAATCAGTGCCATGTCACCCTCCACACCTGGCCAGTAATAGTCCCGCTTAAGGGTCAATAGGGTCTTGTGGTAGCCAAGGTGCATAAGCTTATCGTGAATGGCTCGGGTTAATTTACCACGCAGGCTAGTGAGCACGACCACGCAATAGCGTTCCAATTGGGCATCCCAACGCATGAGGAGTCCGTCATGCATGGCGATCGCTGGGGCCGCCGACGAAGCTGAGCTCCGGGCCTTACGTCCGACGCGTCGCCGTAGCTTCAGAAGAGAGGAATCCTCCATCTGCAAGCTGGACCATACCTCCCGGGGGAGTCCCAGGCCGAAATCCGCGGGCGTTGCCGCACCTGGGGGGGTGGCCGTTGCGGCCGACGCGACCAACTGGGCCGCGACGTCCCCTGGGGCCTTGCAACGGCTAGAGCCCAGGGCGCAAGCACACCCGCCGCCTGCCGGCAATCTGGACAAGCCGTCCGCATTTCCATGCAGTGCCCCCCTTTCTGTGGATTACGTCAAAGGGGTAATCCTGGAGCACCTCGAGCCAGCGGGACAGCTGACCCGAGGGCTGACCATTCCTCAGCGAATATTGCAGGGCCGCGTGGTCGGTTCGGACCGTAAACCGCCTACCGTACAAGTAGGGCCTATACAATTGAACAAAAAAAACTATGGCCAAAAGCTCCCTCCAGGTCATGCAGTATCACTGTTCCGTCGGAGACAGAACACGACTGCCATAGGCTACCACCCTCTCCACCCCGTTGACCACCTGGGCCAGGACTGCCCCAATGCCCGTGTCGCTGGCATCGGTGTCAAGTAGAAAGGGTTTCGAGAAATCGGGGTACCCCAAGGGCGGCGCATCCGCCAAGGCCGTGCGAAGCGTTGCAAAAGCAGCCTCCTCCTCCGCGCCCCAGTAAAACCTTTGGCCTTTGGCGGAGAGGGTGTGCAGCGGCTTCACAATTGTCGCAAAATCGCGGACAAACCGGCGATAGTACGATGCGAAGCCGACGAAGCTACGCACCTCCGCGACAGATGTGGGAGTCGGCCACGTCCGGACACAAGCCGTTTTCTCCGGGTCCGTGGCGACACCTGACGCACTAACGATGTGTCCCAAATACTTCACCGATGGTTGTAGCAAATGGCATTTCTGGGGTTTAAATTTCAAGCCCGCAGCGCGCACTTTGACGAACACAGCCTCGAGGCGTTGCAAGTGCTCGTCAAACGTATGCCCAAAAACAATAACGTCATCCAAGTAGATTAAACAAGACTCCCACTGCAGCCCCACTAAAACCATCTCCATGAGACGCTGGACGGTGGCTGGGGCTGAATGAAGACCCATAGGAAGGCGATTGAACTCGAACAACCCCTGGGGCGTGCGGAACGCTGTCTTGGGTCTAGAGGCTTCATCCAGCGGCAATTGCCAGAAGCCGGAGAGCAAATCT